GAGCCCTATGGTCCAGGACTAGGCTGCTGTAGTCACCCCTGTGACCTAGCACCTAGGCACGGAAGCAGCAGCATATGCCACGTATGTGGGTCATCCATCTAGTCATGAAACTAAATCTACTCAATGACTACCCATTGATGAGCTTTATTCTAGAAACAGTACAAAATGCTGTAATCCCAGCACCTGGGAGGCTAAGGCAGGAGGATCATGAGTTCCAGACCAGTCTGGATTACAGAGTGAGACCTTTTCTGAAAAAACCAAAATGAAAACCAGAGACTGGAGAGATGGGTCCGTGGGCAAGTGTGTAAGCTGTACAAGCCTAAGGATCTGTGTCTGAATCCCCAGCAGCCACATAAAAATCTAGGTGTGGTACCTGTAACCCTAGCACTGGAGAGGCAAAGAGAGCAGAGTTGCTGGGCGAGAGGCCTTGGCTCAAGAGAACCAGGCAGATAGTGAGGAAGGAGGCCACAGGTGATGTCCTTCTGTGGCCTCTGAGCATGTGCACACATTTGCAAATACCCCCCACTGAGCATGTACACACACACACACACACACACACACACACACACACACACACACCCACACACACACATGCAACCCCCCCCCAGGCACAAACAAAATCAAGAATCCCCTCAAACCAACAAAAACTACATGCTTTTTTGTTTGTTTGTTTTAGTGAGACAGGGTCTATATACTTCAGGCCAGGCTAGAATTCTTGATCCTCCTGCCTCAGTCTATAGAGTGCTAGGATTTCAGGTATGCATCACCCCAATGGAGACATACACACACGCACACACTTTTTTTGACAAGGTCTCTCTATGTAGCCCTGGCTGTCCTGGAACTCACTATATAGCCCAGGCTGGTCTGGGACTTACTATGTAGCTGAGGATGACCTTGAACTCCAGATCCTCCTGTCTCCATCTCCTAAGGGCTGGCAGGGGTTAGAGGTGCTTGACATCATACTAGGCTCTGAAACTACAAGATGACCATGCAGTCTGTGTCCCCTTCTAACCTATCAAATACTTTCCTTACGTATTTACTTATTGTCCTTATGCCAACCAGACTATAGACCCCCATAAAATCAAGGAGTCTTTGGGTTCTGTTCTGGTCACTTTTCCATCTGTTCCCAGTGCCTGGCACAATGTTGGGCACACAGCAAATCCTAAGGAAATATGTTGAACCGATAACTTGTACTTTCTTTTCTTTTCTTTTTCTTTAGCATTTTAAGGGTCTCACATAGCCCAGGCTGACCTCAAACTCACGATGTAGCAAAAGATGACAGTGAACTCTGATCTTCTTGCCTCAACCTCCTAATGCTGAGATTAGAGGTGTGAGTCACCACACCTGGCTTACCCTATGTTTTCATCCCCATACTGCAGATGTGTTAACCTAGGCAGAGCAAGGAATATACACAGTGTTAGGTCAGACAGCTATTTAGTTACTAATAGCACAACCAAGGAAGGCTGTTTGTGGTGGCACACACCTTTAATCCTAGCATTTGGGAGGCAGAAGCAGACAGATCTCTGAGAGTTCCAGGCCAGACTGGTCTACATAGAGAGTTCCAGGCTAGCCAGGACTCCATAGTGAGATGCTGTTTCAAAGTACAATGAAAAAACCCAAACCAAAGAGTAATGGAGCCAGTGTGTTCCAGCCCCAGACTCACATGGCTAATTAGTATAGAATAATGCCTGAGCCAGACCCTGTAAGTTTGGCATGTATCTGTAATCTCAGCACTAGGAAACTGGAGGCAGGAGGATCAGAAGTTCAAGGTCATTCTCCTCAATTACACAGTAAGTTCAAGGCCAGCCTATTCTACATGAGACATCTCAACGCCACTCCCCTCGCCCCCAAAAACATCATTGCATAAGACAAGTCTAAGCTACCTCTCCACATGGTGACTCATCACTACAGAAGTTTGAATTTTGTTTGTTTGGAGATAAGGTCTCACTCTATAGTTTTGGCTAGCCTGGAACTCCCTACATAGACCAAGCTGGTGTTGAACTCTGGACATTTTAGTCTCCTTAGTGTTGGGACTAAAAACATGTATCACCATGCCGAGGTCACTGCGGAGGTCCTGCTTCATGTCCTGCTTGCAGTCTCCCCCATTCTAGAAGTCCAGGGAGAACTAGATCTAAACAACAAACCCGACCCCCCTCAGGTTCCACAGCGCTAGGACCTGCTCCCACTGTGGGGCACGAGGGTCGCACGGAATAGAGAGGCTAAGTACAGAAGCAAGCTTGCTGATAGTTCACAGGCCGCCGTTTTGGGTCCATGACTATGAAGTTGCAGAGGTCACTGCAACATGGCGATCCTAGGGTGGTGTGGCTGTGGTGGCAGAATGGGGTCAAGGGACACACTGACATTATAGGACAATGAGTGCAGGCCAGGCTAGGGGAGAGTGCAGTGTGTGTGTGTGTGTGTGTGAGAGAGAGAGAGAGAGAGAGAGAAAGAGAGGATGGTGTGTCTACATGTGTGGAAGCCAGAGGTCAATGTCAAATGTTTTCCTCTATTCTTCAATTATTATTTGAATTATTTTTTTTAAAGATTTATTTATTTATTATGTATACAGTGTTCTGCCTGCAAGCCAGATCTCATTACAGATGGTTGTGAGTCACCATGTGGTTGCTGGGAATTGAACTCAGGACCTCTGGAATAGCAGCCAGTGCTCTTAACCACTGAGCCATCTCTCCAGCCCCCTATTATTTGAATTATTATTATTAATAATATATAATACACACAACTATATTATATGTAATTATAATTGTATAATATATAACTAATACACAATACACTATGTTAGTAATAATTATTATTATTGAATTAGTATTCAATTATTGTGGATAGGGTCTTACTTGGTAGCTCTGGCTGGCCCACAACTTGCTATAGTTGTATAGGTCAGGGTGCCTTGGAACTCAGAGCTCTCCCTGCCTCTGACTGCTGGGATCAAAAGCATGTGCCACCATGCCTGACTCATCTTTCATTTTTTGAGACAGTATCTCTGAACTTGGGGCTCACTGATTCGACAAGGCTAGTTGGCCAGTAAGACTGAAGAATTTGGTGCTGGAAACATGGCTTAGCATAGTACTGGCCACTCTCCCAGAGGCCCTGGATTCAATTCCCATACTCACTTGGTAGCTCACAACCATCTAGGATTGCAGATATGTGCCACCACATCTGATTTTTGACCTGAGAGCAAGGGATCCAAACTCAGGTCCTGATGCACACCAAGCGCTACCCCCAGATCCATCTACCCAGGCCCATACCATGCAATATAGTGATGACAGTCATGGATGAGGGTGACATGGTCGGTAACAAAGTGGCAACATCAGCCCAAATGCCACAGTAAATCAAGTGTTACAAGAACGAGTTATTAGGGCTGGGCATGTTGGCCAGTCCCTATAGGCAGAGGCAAGAGGATCTTTGGCTTCACATGGAATTCAAAGCCCACCTAAAGCTAGACAAGACTCAACAAACAACTGAACAAAAGAACAGATGCTCAGACTCTTCACACGTCTCCCTGGTATGAGTATCTCTATGTGCTTTTGTTGTTTGATGGAGTCTCATGTAGCCCAGGTTGGCCTCAAACTTGTTATGTACCCGAGGATGACCATGAAATCCTGATTCTTTTCTTTACCTCCTAAGCACTGGGTTTATAGACACACAAACCTGTTGGCCACTGTGTGCATTTTACAGAAGGGAAAGCAGGGGTTGGAGAAGCATGATTTGGTGGCCAGGGTTATCCACAAGTTTAGGGGTGAAATCGAGACCCTGGCGTACCCTAGGCTTTAATACCACACTGTGGAAATATGTAGAGCATATTCTTTCACACTGTGGGAGGAGAAAGCTGTAAGGCTGGGTGGCTGGCTACTTGTGGGGAATGCTGAAGTCATGAGATACAGAGGGCAACTGTCAGGACCACTGGTGTTAGGGGAGAGATGGAGACAGTTAATATGGTAATAATTGGTATGAAGAGATTTAGGGCAAATGAGGGTTTTGTGAAGGAGAAATGACAAAAGGGATGTGTGGGTGACTAGACAATGGTGATAGAGATGGGCTCAGCATGCCTGTAATCCCTGCCCTCAGGAGCCTGAGCAAGTGGATCAAAATTTCAAGGCCAGAGCTGGGCGGTGGTGGCGCATTCCTTTAATCCCAGCACTGGGAGGTAGAGCCTGGCGGATCTCTGTGAGTTCGAGGTCAGCCTGGTCTACAGAGCAAGATCCAGGACAGGCACCAAAACTACACAGAGAAACCCTGTCTCGAAAAACCAAAAAAAAAAAAAAAAAAAATTCCAGGCCAGTCTGGTGAATATCCAGGCCAGTTTGGGTTACAATGGGACACTGTCACATAAATAGAGAAAACTGCAATCTAGGGCCAATCAGGGCTTAAGGGGAGTGAAAACGAGTAAAAAGGGTGATGGGCTGGAGGTGGCTCAGCACTTAAAAGCACTTGTTGCTCTTCCAGAGGACCCGAGTTAGAAAGTCAGTACCCAGGTCTGGTGGCTCACAACCATCTGTAACTACAAATTCAGGGAATCTGACGTCTTCTAATCTCCTCGGGCAACTGCAGTCACAGATACACAAATAATTTTAAACAATAAAAAAATATTTTCTAAAGGGGGGGCGATGTAAGGAAGGTCATGGCGACAGACGGGGGTGGTGGTGACGATTTAAGTGGGATCTGACTTAAGAGAAGGAATGGGGGCACCTAAGTGGGCACAGGACGACACAGGAAAGATGCATTATAGACCAGAGGGTGACACAGGGAAGGCGGCAGAGGCGTCGCCCCCCGCATCGCACAGTACCTGCACTCCACGGCTTCTACTCCAGAACCCAGCCCCGCCTTCCCGCCCACCTGTGCGCAGGCGCACTCGGGCGAGACCCCCGGGGAGAGGAGGAGCCCGGGAGGCTGCGTGCCATCACGTGACGGCGATACACGCACTCTCGCTGGTTGGCGGCTAGGGAGGCTAGAGCGGCCAGGTGGGCGGGTCAGTCAGATCCGGTATCAAGGGCAGGACTTCCGGGGCGGGCGGCCGGGGCGGAGGGAGGAGTGGCTGGCTCCACGGCAGTTGGCGCGACCAGGAGGGCGGCCAGGCTGCTCGTGGGGGTGCGGGCCGGCAGGGCCAGGTGAGGTGCGGGCCTGGCTGGCGGGACTGGGTCTGAGGAGGTTGGGGATGAAGATGCGGAGTGACCAAGGGTCTGGATTCCCAGTGCGGGCCACCCCGTGCTACCAGATAAGCGATTTCTTTTTCCGAGCCTCAGTTTCCTCCTCTGTACAATGGGGGCCCGAAGCCGACCGTAGTACCCCCTTAATGGGACGTCAGCCAGCTCGTGCACGCCGCGGCTGCTCCCAGCGCTCCTCCTCTCCTTACTCTTCCATCCTTGTTAGCGCCGATGATGATGATAGCGCGGGAGATGGCCGGGCTAGCAGGCCAGCGGGTGTGGGTTCGAATCTCAGCTCCGCGGTGCAGCATTGGGCCTGTGTCTTTACCTCTCTGAACCCCAGTTTCCTCTGCACAGTGATAGTCTCAGGCTCATAGGTTCATCGTGCAGATTCTGATGAATATCTTTGGCATACCAAGAGCTCGGTGGATTGGGATTGTAGTAGCTGAGAGTTCTAACAAAATAGAGGAGGGGAAGCCCTGAGAAAGCAAGAAAATAGTCGGGAAGATCGATACCCTGCTGTTTGCCGAGTCTTGAAGTTGATTTAAAATAATGACTGATGCATGTTCCTCAATTTAAAAGGCTGAAATTTACATTGTTATCCTATTTGGGAAATTAACACTGCTTGCCAGGAGAAGGAAAACGTAACTTGAAATACAATAGAAATAGAACAGCCTCTTCAGTTGTGGGCGGTGAATGAAAGATACTTGGAAATTGGATAATTTGTTTGTTTATTATTTATTTGTATTTGAGATCTCTATGTAGCTCTGACTGCCCTGGAACTCACTATGTAGACCAGGTTGGCCTCGAATTCACACAGTTCCACCTGCCTCTGCCAAGTGCTGGGATTAAAGGTGTTCGTCACCATGCCCGGCTGGCTGAGTAGGCTTATATTTGGATCCCAACTCACACCTGCGTGCAACTGACATTAGGTCCACAACTGTCCCACTGTCACTGGTTTAGTTAAGATTTAACTTAATGCATACTTATCACGTGCCATCCATAGTAGGAGCTTTGAGTTTGCTTATTTTATGCCTCTAACACCGTTTTAAAATTAAAAAAAAAAAAAGATCAGTTTTATTGTGTGTGTTAGGTCAGAGGATGACTTGGCCTAGTGGTCTTTACCTACTGAACCATCTCACTGCCCCACACCACACGTTTAAAAAAATGTCCACCATTGATGGGCAGTGAGCCTGTGTATGCATTTGTGTGGAGGTGAGGACAGCTTTTGGGAGTTGTATCTACCCTGTGGGATGTAGGTTCAGGGGACTGAACTAATGTTGTCTGAGTTGGAGGCAGGCCTCTTTGGTAGGTTACCTTTTTCCTTCTTCTTCTTCTTCTTCTTCTTCTTCTTCTTCTTCTTCTTCTTCTTCTTCTTCTTCTTCTTCTCCTCCTCCTTCTTCTTCTTTTCATTTTTGGTTATCTTTTTTTTTTTTTTTGGTTTTTCGAGACAGGGTTTCTCTGTGTAGCTTTGCGCCTTTCCTGGAACTCACTCTGTAGACCAGGCTGGCCTGGAACTCACAGAGATCCGCCTGGCTCTGCCTCCTATCTTTTTCTTTAAAGTGCTTGCTAGCTAATCGTTTCTCGACCTTTTGGCTGAGGTCAGGTGTAAAGTGCTTGCTAGGCAAGTACTCCGTCATTGAGCCTTTTCTCAGCTCTTGGCTTTTTGAGGTAGGGTCTCCATGTAGCACACCTGGCCTGGAACTCAAAATTTCATCTTCCATTTCCTGAGCTGGCGTGATGGGTAGTAATAGGATCGTTTAAATGGCTCTGAGAGGTGAGTCCCAGAAAAATAGAGCAAAGCTAGGCTTGGGGCTAAGTTCCGCTCCCCCTTCCCCTCCCCCTTCCTCTCCCCCTCCTCTTCCTACTATTCCACCCTTCTTGGTTTCTTTGAGACATGGCCTTGGTATTTAGCCTTGGCTCTCCGCAAACTCATGGTGCTCCTACATTAGCCTCCAACACCATGCTTTGGATTCAAGTCTCCTAAGGACATAAAAGTATGTGGATTCTAATAAATAGTAATTTCTTGAGTTTTGAGAGCTGTCATTTTAAAAATGTTAATTTTGTCAATTTTCACTATTCAGAAAGAGATGGACTTTTAAAATATTAACCTGTGTGTGTGTGTTATGTGTAGTTGTTTGTATATTCACTCATGTGCAGTTGTGCGTGTATGTACGTGCCTGCGGATGCCAAAGTTGGGTGTCTTACTTGGTCCTCCTTTATCGTGTATTTTGAGTCAGGGTCTCTCACCGAACCTGGAGCTCACCCATTTGGGCAGACAGACTGGCCGCTGAGCTCCAGGGATCCGCCTGTCTTCACTTCCCCAGTGCTTGGCTTTATTAGAAGTGGGTGGTGGGGATTTGAATTCCAATCTTCATACACAATACTAACTGAGCCATCTACCCAGCTGGGGAGATGGACTTTTTAAAAAGAAGATTCATTTATTTTTATGTGTATGTATATTTACCTGCTTGTGCATGTTTCCACCACACACATGCCTGATGCACATGGAGCCCAGGCTGTTGGGTCCTCTTGGACTAAAGTTACAGGTGGTTGTGACCTGTGTGTGAGTGCTGGGAACCAAACCAAAGCAAGAAGTGCTCTTAACCTCTGAGCATTCTGGACCCTGGAAATGGTTTTTAAGATAGTAGAGAGTGCTGCCGGGCGGTGGTGGCGCACGCCTTTAATCCCAGCACTTGGGAGGCAGAGGCAGGTGGATCTCTGAGTTCGAGGCCAGCCTGGGCTACCAAGTGAGTGCCAGGAAAGGCGCAAAGCTACACAGAGAAACCCTGTCTCGAAAAACCAAAAAAAAAAAAAAAAAAAAAAAGATAGTAGAGAGTGCCTTGGAGATGAAGGCAGGAAGATTTCGAATTCAGGAGACTTAGTTTCAACAAATGGATCAAACCAAACCAAACAGACAAAATGGTATTAAGGAGATGAAATTGAGTTCAAACAGTGACTTCCTTGCCCTAGTATTTTTTTTTTTTTTTTTTTTTTTTTTTTGGTTTTTCGAGACAGGGTTTCTCTGTGTAGTTTTGATGCCTGTCCTGGGATCTCGCACTGTAGACCAGGCTGGCCTCAAACTCACAGAGTTCCGCCTGGCTCTGCCTCCCGAGTGCTGGGATTAAAGGCGTGCGCCACCGCCACCACCGCTTGTATTTTTTTTTTTTTTTTTTGGTTTTTCGAGACAGGGTTTCTCTGTGTAGCTTTGCGCCTTTCCAGGAACTCACTTGGTAGTCCAGGCTGGCCTCGAACTCACAGAGATCCGCCTGGCTCTGCCTCCCGAGTGCTGGGATTAAAGGCGTGCGCCACCACCGCCCGGCTGTATTTTTTTTTAATTTAATAATTTATTTAAATTTACTTTATGTGCATTGGTGTGGAGGTATCAGGTCCCCTGGAATTGGAGTTACAGACAGTTGTGAGCTGCCATGTGGGTGATGGGAACTGAACCCGGGTCCTCTGCAAGAGCAGCCAGTGCTCTGAACCACTGAGCCATCTCTCCAGCCCTCTTGTTTAGTATTAACTGAGGCCTTCCAAGGATAGGCTGGTTATGCGTGCTGTGTAGCAGTCCCTCAGCCTCCATTCATTGGACTGACCGGAGTTCAAGTTCTGGCCCTGCTGTTAACCTGCTTTGCTTTCGTGGGCTTACCGTTCGCTCTGTCTTTAACTTTATTTCCTCTTTTTGCTCATCTTTCTTCCTCCCAGGCTCAAAATGCAAAGCCGCTGAGAGGTACATATTCTCAGTTCCTGGCACAGAGTAAACACTCCTAAGGACCTGCTCCATGGGCTTCGGAATCAGAGAGAACTTGCTTTGGAATCTCAGAAAGGTCAGTTGCTATATGTGACACTTGGCAAGTGACTGTTCCTTGCTGAGTCAGGTGTGTTTTTTTTAATTGGTGAGAACGGGACTAATAATAGTCTTCCCCGGTGAGGCTGTTGCCAGGCATCTTCATGACGCTCCGACCTGGGGGCTAGTTGGTGCTTGGTATGTGACATGTCCTGACTTTCTCAGAGCTGTCTCTTGTACTGTTTATTGGTGTCAAGTCCAGAACTTGCTGTGTAGCTAAGGATAGCCTTGAACTTCTGAACCTCCTGCCTCCGCCTCCCAAGTGCTGGGACTGCAGGTGTGTGTACCTGGTATGTATGGTGCTGGGGATGGAGCCCAGAGCTTCATGTATGCTGGGCAAGCACTCTCCGAACTGAATTACACCTCTCGCCCTACCCACCTGCTTGATACTGGGTCTGCTGTACAGCCCAGGCTAGCCTTGAACGTGATGTGTAGCTTGAGCTGGCTTCTAAAGCTCTTCAGCCCCCTCTAAGCAGTGGCTCATCTAAGTGAAAATTGGTTTTCCATTTCTTTGGAGCCTCTTAGGGTCTGGTACCCCCCACCCCCATCCCCTCCAAGTCTGGCTCTTAAACACACTGAGGAGCTTTTAGCTTGGGGCACTGGACTCAGTGTCCCCTTTCCTGGAACAGTCTTCCTCTAAAGAGCCATGCACTCACTTCCCCTCCCCCAGATCTCTACATGACACCTCAGTCTTTGCAGATCAGCCTGTTGGAAACGGCTCCCACCCTTCCCCGGCCGTCCATGCTTTTTCCACAGCACTGCCTTTATAGCTGTTTGGCTTGCTGTCTGTCCCCTGCTTCTCTGCTCCCAGCTGGGCTCCATGGTTCTGTCCCCCTCTGGATCCTTAAGTATCTCCCACATGGAAGGTTCTTGGGAAAACTGTTTGTTTATTTATTTTGCTGTGGACCACACCCAGCCTTGCATATCCTCGCAAAAATTCTGTCACTGAGCTACATACCAGCTAAATCTTTTATGTTTAATGCAGAGTCTTATGTAGCCTAGGCTGGTCTTGAACTCGTGAACCTCTTGTCTCAGTCTTCTGATTGCTGGAATTTCAGACACTCTACCATGCTTGATTTTTGTCTTAAGGCTTGAGAAAGCCTCACACTGGATGTGGTGGCATACTTCTTTAATTTCAGCATTGAGGGGCAGAGACGGGAATCTCAAGTTCTGCCTGGTCTACAGAGTGCGTTCCAGGACAGCTAGGACTGTAAACATCCAAACAAACAAACAAACAAATAGAGAAAGCCTCACTTTGTAGCCTGGGCTATCCCCCTGCCTCAGTTTCCTGAGTAGTGGGGTAGCAGGCGCATCCACTGTGCCTGACTCTGTTAGGAAGTTTCCTTTGAGCAATGGGTGGCTCCATGTGCTGGGATTTGGGGGGCCACTATTCCAGCTCGACCTCTCATGGTGTGAAGAATGGAAGCTTGGACATTTGCTTTCTGTGCTGGTCCTTTATGTCAACCTGCCACAAGCCAGGGTCATCTGGGAAGAGGACTCTCAATTGAGAAAATGCCTCTATAAGATTAGCTTGTAGGAGCTGAGCGGCAGTCACATGCCTTTAATCCCAGCACTCGGGAGGCAGAGCCAGGCGGATCTCTGTGAGTTCGAGGCCAGCCTGGTCTACTGAGAGAGATCCAGGAAAGGCACAAAGCAGAGAAACCCTGTCTCGGAAAAAACAAAACAAAACAAAACAAAACCAACAAAAACAAAAAAGGTTAGCTTGTAGGCAAGTCTGGGGGACATTTTCTTCATTGGTGATTGATATGAGATGGCCCAGCCCACTGTGGGTGATGTCGTTCCTGGGTAAGGTGGTCAAGGTGTTATAAGACAACTTGTCTGAGCAAGCTAGTAAACAGCATTCCTCCATGGCCTCTGCATCAGTTCCTACCTCCAGGTTCCTTCCTTGAGTTCCAGTTCTGACTTCCCTCCAAGATGGACTACAAGCTGTAAGATGAAGTAAACCCTTTCCTCTCCAAGTTGCTTTTTGCCATGGTGTTTTATTATAGCAGTGGACACCCTAACTAAGACGCCATCTTTGAGCTCCTTCCCAGGAAGCAGAAGTGATATCTGTGATGGCAGCCCTGTCCTAGGCTGACGTCCTGCCAGCTGCTCCAGGCTATTCTTGGTTTGTGAGCCCCTAGTCCAGGAATGCTCCTCTGGCAGGCAGTCGGGCAGGCAGCACCGGGAGCCTGAGGCTCTCTGTGGGCCGACGAATGGTACCTCTCCCTCTCTTCCAGGCTCCAGGAAGCAGGGTCAAGGCCAGGGAGACGATGGTCTCAGTGACTATGGGTGAGTCTGATTTCCCTGCAGGGCCCCTCTGCCCACCTCCCTTTCTGGGGTGTGGTCTGGGTCTAGAGAGGTGGAGCGGGGAGGGTTGGTAACAGGCCGGAACAGCTGGGCTCTACTGAGGTGGGGGCGGGGCTGGAGCCTGTCTGTTCTCTTCCTGTGTTGGGCCTCCTGCATTAGGAGTTTGGCCTGGAGAACTTGGTAAGGCTCTCTGGTGCATGCTCCACCTGGCCTGCTACCTGTGAGATGGAGATGGTAATTCTGCAATCTGGATTAAGGAGATTACCACATGTGGAATCCTGGGCATAGTTCTCAACAGATGTTAAATGTGCTTGCTGGGAGACAGCCCTGATTATCCCTCCACTCTCTTTCCTGAGATGCAGTTCCATGCTAACCCAGGCTCACCTGCAAGTCCTTGGAGCCAAGGACGACCTTGAGCTCTTCATCTTCCTGCCTCCACTTCCAGTGCTGGGATCACAGGTGTGCTACCACCAGCCTGGCTCGCTTGCGTGCTCCTTCTCTTGCTCTCTGTTTTTGGGGTGGGGGGAGATGTAGTCTCCCTATGTGACTAGGCCACGTTCAGATTCCTGCCCTAAGCTCCTGAGTGCTGGGGTTAGAGCTGTATGCCACCACGCCCAGATTCCCAGCTCTTTTCAAGCCGTCTATTGGGATTGTCAAGGCACAGAGACCACATGGTGGCTTAGGAAAATGTTGAGATCTATTGCACATGTAGGCAAATCGAAAGCTGGCCTGTGGCACATGCCTATAATCCCAGCACTCAGGAGGCAGAGGCAGAGGCAGGCGGATCTCTGAATTGGAGGCCAGCCTAGTCTACAGAGAGAGTTCCAGGACAGCCAGGGCTACACAGAGAAACCCTGTGGGGGTGAGGGGCAATGGAATTAAAAGCAACTAAGGGACAAATATTTAGCAAGGCCCAGGCTTTGAGTTGGCATAACAAAACTATGCAGTATATCATCATGACGTGTGCCTTTATGTAGCGTGATATTTGAGAGTCATCTGTGGGACTAAGCGAAACTGTTGACTTTCCTTTTGAATGTTGTGTAGTCCTTTACATGTTTGTTTATGGATGCCACTGTCAAGGGATATTGCTTAGGGCTTGAGGTGTAGCTAAGTGGTAGAGCACTTGCCTAGGACTCACCTGTGGGGACTTGGAGTATGGCTCAGTATTATGGTTTACTAAGGGCAGAGGAGGTAGCTCAGAGCTAGAGTAGAGCCCTTAACTGACATTCATAAGCCACGTTGCATCTGCAGCACTGCAAACAGACAAACAGTAAAGGATATTGTTTTGTTCTGGGGTAGACATCTGCGGTGTTTATTCTTGACAATTTCTCCTGGTGCATGTGTAGTAACCTCATCCCGCTGATTCTAAGATACACTGTTAGGGAATGTAACATTTCTGGGTAGGGGCTACATCTCTTTTGTTTGTTTTTGGAGACAATGTCTCACTCTGTAATTCTCCGGATCATTCACTGTGTATCCCAGACTGGTCTCAAACCCACCGCTGCAGCCTCCTGAGTGCTGGGATTAAAGGCTGGCACCACCACCTGTGGCCTAGGTATTTCTTAGTGGCCACTGGTTTATGACAGCTCAGTTGGTCACATGTTTGCCTTTTCTCTGTAATACATGACATGGTGGTGTGAGCCTGATGTAGAGATTCTGCAACTCCTTGGTCACCAGGCTCTGTAGGGCCTTTGTAAGTGGTGCACACTTGTGATCCAGCACAGTAAGGCAGGAGGATCAGGAGTTCAAGGTCATTCTTAGCTACTTGGTGAGGTCAAAGCAAGCCTGAGATTCATGAGATCCTGCCTTCTTTTTTTTTTTTTTGAAGCAGGGTCTAACTATGTAGTCTTGGCTGTCTTGGAACTTGATATGTAGACCAGGCTGGCCTTGAACTCACACAGAGAGATCCACCTGCCTCAGCCTCCCAAGGTGTGTGTCACCATGCTGAGACCCTGTCTTTAAAAAAAGGGGGGGGACTCAAGGGAAGCAGGTGGGGATTTAGCTTGGTGAGTGGAGTGCTGGCCTAGCAAACACAAGGCCCTGGGTTCAATCCCCAGCACCACATAAACTGAGCATGGTGGCAGCACACACCTGCAAGTCCAGCCCTGGGGAGGAGGAGGCAGGAGGATCAGAGTTCAAGGTCATCCTCAGCTACAGAGTAAATTTGAGGCCAGGCCTGGGCTCCACTAGACCTTGTCTTAAAAAACAAACGAACAAACCAACCATTGAAGGCTGTCTAGACTCAGTCCACCCAGTGACCTGAGGACATGGGTGCTGTTAGTACTGAAATGTTAGCCAGGTGAGGATGGATTTCTTGACTTCTGCCCTGAGGGTCTAAGGTATCACAGGTGCTAAGAACAGGATTGGACCTGTGCTGTGTGCCCAGGAAGTACTTGGTAGATGTATAGTACCTTTACAAATTACAGATGGGGAAACTGAGGCACTGAGCTTTGACTTGCCCACAGTCCTACAGGCAGGAAATGGCAGAGCCAGGATTGAACCAGTCAAGCTTCCTGATAACAGATATGAATGTGAGCCTCTCCTTGAGGCTTGGTTGCTCCCTGCTAAAGCCCATGGACTGGCTCCAGGCCTGGGCTCCCCACCAGGTCATGTGCTGAGCGCTATCAGGCCAGGCACATGGGATAAGGCACCAGGACGGGGTGAAGCTGTAGGAACAAGGTCAAAGGACCGGGAACTTGGGGGCACCATGCCTGGCATGTTAAACCTCTCAGGTCCCAGTCCGGGGACTCGGTGCCTGCTGAACCGCAGGTGGTCAGGGGTTCTCAGTCCGTTAAGAGTTGAGAGCTCACAGGGCAGGGCTGGCATGCACTGGGTCGATTTGTGGAAGCCACTGCTACTGCAGTTTGCTATGAATGACTGTCCTGTCTAACCTCCAGCCACTTCCGAGTGGATCCAGTTCTTCAAGGAAGCTGGCATTCCCCCAGGACCTGCTGTGAATTATGCTGTGATGTTTGTGGACAATCGGTGAGGAGGCTGATGGGACAGGATAAACTGGGCAGGAGGAGGCGGGAACTTGCTGGGTGGGGCCTCATCACCATCCTCCCCACAGGATCCAGAAGAGCATGCTGCTAGATCTCAATAAGGAAATCATGAACGAGCTGGGCGTGACTGTAGTGGGTGACATCATTGCCATCCTCAAGCATGCCAAGGTGGTACACCGCCAGGTAGGTGCCCTTCTGTGCCTCTGACTGCCTGGGGAAAGTGTGAGTGAGGCTGGAGGGGATTGTTGTGGGGCCAGTAGGAGGCGTGGCAGCAAAGGACGGTGCAGTGTTGGAGGCAGGTTTAGCTCTTTGCTGTGTGACATTGGGCGAGTTGCCTGACTTTTCTGAACCTTGTTTTCTGTCTTCTCTATGCAGTGAGGCAAACCATGATTTTGTGTTTCTTTTTCCATTTTTCACATGTGTGTGGTATACACACATGGACACACGTGAATTGTGCATGTTCACATGTATATGTGCATGTGGAGGCCCAAGGTTGATAAAGGGAATTATCCTCAATCACTCTTGCACCTTATTCAGTGAGGCAAGATCTCTCAATCAGACCCAGAGCTTGCTGATACAGCTACCAGATGCCCTGAACCTTTATAGTAACATGTGCAATAGATCTCAACATTTTCCTAAGCCACCATGTGGTCTCTGTGCCTTGACAATCCCAATAGACGGCTTAAAAAGAGCTGGGGATCTGGGCGTGGTGGCATACAGCTCTAACCCCAGCACTCAGGAGCTTAGGGCAGGAATCTGAACGTGGCCTAGTCACATAGGGAGACTACATCTCTCCCCACCCCAAAAACAGAGCTAGCCAGGCTGGTGATAGCACACCTGTGATCCCAGCACTGGAAGTGGAGGCAGGAAGATGAAGAGCTCAAGGTCGTCCTCCAGAGCACCCGAGTTCAGTTCCTGGCACTAATATCTTGAAGCTCACAACTGCTTATAAGTGCAGCTTCAAGGGATCTCATACCTGTGGCCTCTGCAAGCACCTGCACTCTCTTTTTTTTTTTTTTTTTTTTTCGGTTTTTTGAGACAGGGTTTCTCTGTGTAGCTTTGCGCCTCTCCTGGAATTCACTTTGTAGACCAGGCTGGCCTCGAACTCACAGAGATCCGCCTGGCTCTGCCTCCCAAGTGCTGGGATTAAAGGCGTGCGCCACCACCGCCCGGCGCACCTGCACTCTCATACACCACACACACACACAGACAACTAAAAATGGATTAAAAAACAACCCCAGAGCAGAACAGATTTTGTTTTTTGTTTGTTTATTTGTTTTGTTTTGTTTGTTTCAAGACAGAGTTTCTCTTGTGTAACTCTGACTGTCCTGGGACTCGCTCTGTAAACCAGGCTGGCCTGGAACTCAGAGATCCCCCTGCTTCTGCCTCCCGAGTGCTGGGATTAAAGGCGTGCGCCACCACCGCCCGGCTGACAGAACAGCTTTTTTTTTTTTTTTAAGATTTATTTATTTATTGCTTATTTATTATGTATACAAAAGAGGGCGCCAGATCTCATTACAGATGGTTGTGAGCCATCATGTGGGTGCTGGGAATTGAACTCAGGACCTCTGGAAGAGCAGTTGGTGCTCTTAACCTCTGAGCCGTCTCTCCAGCCCGGCAGAACAGCTTTTAAGGCCTCTGGGTGCTGCTCAGTGCTCTAGGACCCCCTTCTGGGCTAACCCGCCACCTCTCATTTCCAGGACATGTGCAAAGCTGCTGCTGAGTCAGTGCCCTGCAGCCCCAGCCCCCTCCAGGGGGAGCCTCGCCGTGGCGCCTCTAGCGGTGAGTTGCACCTGTTCAGTCTCTTCCTTCATTGTATCCCCTCACTGAAGGGAACACATCTGGCCGTTCTGTCCACCTTGTAGTTTGCAGAGGTGGAAGCAAAGCCGTTGAGGCCCTCCCTCTATAAAGGACCAAATAAACTAGGCAGAGAGTGACTGTTTGTGTGGCCCTTTCTCACAGTAGTCATAATTTTTTTAAATTAGTGTGTGTGAGTGTGTGAGTGTGTGTGTGTGTGTGTGTGGTCTCACATGACAAAGTGTCTGAGAAAGTTAGAGGACATGTTGTGGGGGGTGGTTTTCTCTTTCCACCATATAGATCTTGATGCTCAAACTTGGGTCATCAGGCTTGGTTGTAAGTACCTGTATCCGCTAAGTCATCCTTCTGGCCTCCCCTCCCACCTCTATAGCCCAGGCTGGCCTTGAAGTCACTATCTTCCTGCCGTAGCATTAGCATCTTGCTCCTGGGGGCACCACATCTGATTTGTTCTTTGGTGGTGCTGGGGATGGAGCCCAGAGCCTGAGCAGGCTGGTCGCAGGCTGCTCATGCCCCTGTTCACTCAGCTGCATCTCAGCCCTTACCTTATATACTCCTCTTTGTCCTAGTTTGCTTGGTTTTTTTTGGGGGGGGTCAAGACAATTTCTCTGTGTAACACCCCTGGCTGTTCTGGAACTCACTCTGTAGACCAGGTTGGCCTCAGACTCACAGAGATCTACCTGGCTCTGCCTCCCAAGTGCTGGGATTCAAGGCGTGCGTCACCGCTGCCTGGCTTCTTGATAAAGCATGGCTAAAAGCAACTTGGGAAGGAAAGAGTTTATTCAGCTTACATGGCCTGATCAGGACCTCAAGGTGGAGGCCCCGGAGGAATGCTGCTCTTTTCTTTTGTTCCTTCTTGAAATAGGGTCGCACTATGTAGCCCTGGTTGGTCTTGAACTGCTGTCTCGGCCTTCTGAGTACTGGGACTAATATAGACATTGTTCCACCACACCTATCCAGCTATCCTTCTTACACCTTCCTGACCAATCACCTGCCGGGAGTGGCACTGCCCACAGTGGCACAGCCTCCCCACCAGTTATCAGTCAAGAAAATACCCCACAGACACAGACATGTCTGTAGGCCAGTCTGATGGAGGCATCTTTTGACCTCTTCTCTGATGTCTCTAGTTTGTGTAAAGTTGATAAAAAAAAAAAACTAACTAGCCATACTTCTAAAAAAATGTATTTATTGTTTACATTTATTTATTCTGTGTGTATATGTTTGGGGAGTACTCGAGTGCCATGGCACATGTGGTGGTTATGTGACTCCCACTTCTACCATATGGGTCCCGGGGATCAGTACCTTCACCCACATTCTTGCCTTTATTCACTGAGTCGTCTCAGTGTCCCCCATGTGTCCCTTTTTAAGGACACCTTGTTTACTATATGCTGTTGAGTCATTCGCTGAGCTCATAGCCAGCACCACCGTGACTCATTCCAGAACAAAGCCTGTAAGCCACACATGTTTTCCATGAAGCACATCGTGGCCTTTCCATGCAGTGCAATGTCGCACAGCACCTTAGCAGTGTGCTTGGTGTCATTTAAAGCTGCACAGTCTCCAAGCAAAAGCAGAAAAGAGACCAGTTTTCAGGAGCTGACACCAGAGACCACAGGATCCCTTTGCCATAGGCCGGGAACACGTGCTGGGTGATGGTGCAAATCTGCAAACAGCTGCAGAAGCACCACATGTATTGGTGTATGGGGCTGTAGTGAATCCCAGTGAGCAGATGAGTGTGCACACACAGACTCTGAAGACCTGGGCAACAAACAGAGTGAGACCCTATTTAAAAAGCATACGGAGCTGGGCTCTAACTCGGCTGGCAGAGTGCTTGCCCAGCATGCACGAGGCCTTGGACGCGATCCCCAGCTCCAAACAGTCAGGCACTGTGGCACACCCTCTAATCTAGCACTTGAGAAGTGGCAGCAGGAGGGTTAGACATTTAAAGTAGGGGTTGGAGAGAGGCGCAGTGGTTAAGAACACTGGCTGCTCTTCCAGAGAACCGGAGTTCAGTTCCCAGCACCCGCATCAAGTAGTTCACAAATGCCTGTAACTCCAGCACCAGGGGCCTGACGCCCTCTTCAGGCCTCCAGAGGAACCATCTCAAACAAGGTAGAAGAAAAGGACACACACACATCTGAGTGTCATAATTCTGAGTGACACAATTCACACATGAATGGACACACACACACACACAAACAAAAATAAACAGTTACAGACATTTACTTCTCACAGATGAATAAACACGAAGTCATAGACATGTACTTCTCACAGTTTTATGGGTTGGCTGGCCATGGTACTCTGACCCAGTTCAGCGGGTCTCTGTGGTTCATGACGTCTAGATTGAAGTATGGCTTCATTTACACATCTGATTACTGGCTTGATGTCAGCTGGAGTAATAGAGGTGACTTGGTGTCTTTATGCAGCAGGCTAGCCTAGGCATGTTCTGACGGTGAGGCTGTAGAAATCAGGCTTCGTTTCTCTAACAAGCCCACAACACGCATACAGAAAAGAGTTCGATCGTAATGGCTTTGTGGCTGGCTGTGTAACTCGGCTCTAGAATGTATGCTTAGCCTATGAGGCCCTGTGTTCTAGTCTCAGTCCTAAAGCCTCAGCACTAAATTGTTAAAGGCTCTGCTGAGTAGCATTCAGTATAAGGCAGCCGATAGCCATTGTCCAAAGACAGAGACAAGCATGGCTGTCCTTCCAGAGTCCCCTCCTCCCCCTTTCAGGAATCCCACAATTCTGGCTGCCAGTCTTTCAAAAGTGCCTGTCCATAACATTTCCATACCTTTCTGGATGGCTTTTTCTCTTTCCTCCCTCCCTCCATCCCTCCCAAGACAAGGACTCGCTATATAGCTATAGCCCTGACTGGCTTGGAATGCATGTAGACGAAGCTAGCCCTGAATTGAGAGAGTCCCACCTGCCTCTGCCTCCCGAGTGCTGGGGTTAAAAGCATGTTCCATCATGCCTGGCCTACATGCCTTTTATAATTTCAAGTAACTGAAAATTGAAACCAAAGCTGTGCATGGTGGCTCATGTGTATAATCCCAACACTCAGGAGGCTGAGGCAGGAGGATTGTTATGAATTAGCCAGCCTGGGTTACATTGTGAGTTCCAGGCCAATGCAGAGTGAGACAAAGTCTTTAAAAAAAACAAAAGAAAAATCGTGTCCAGTGACGAGGACTGCGGAACAAAGTGTGCATGGGTCAGGGGAGCAGAAGTAAAAGGGGGTCCCGGTGGGGTGGGATGTTAGAGGAGTTTTCTCTGAGAGGTCAGACATGGTAAGCTGGTTCCTGGGAGTAGGAAGCTGCCTTCCAGGTTCCTTAAACATCCCTTACATTATGAGGATGGAGCAGCCACAGGGCGACAGCAGCTGCTTCTTCCTTAGTCCAGTGCTTTCCTTTGACATCCTGGCCCCAGCACTGTTGGGTTGAGAACTCACTCCTAGACTGTTCTTCCAGAATCCTCCTCCCTGCCATTTCCCAGTCCCTTCTCCAGGGCACCCATAGCATGACTGGACTCACTTCCTCCCACAGCCGCTTCTCGAATGATCACCAACAGCTTGAACCATGACTCTCCACCCCACACTCCCCCAAGGCGGTCAGACACCAGCACTTCCAAGATCTCCGTCACCGTGTCCAACAAGATGGCAGCGAAGGGTGCCAAGGCTGCCGGTGAGGACTTGGGCAGGTTTTGGGCAGAGCTGCAGGGGAACGTGGGTGAGCAGAAGGCGTGCGTGCGTGCGTGCGTGCGTGCGTGCGTGCGTGCGTGCGTGCGTGCGTGCGTCGTGTATCTGGGGGGGGGTGCTGCTGAGTGTGACAAGGTGCTTCAGAGACCACCTGAAGGTCATTGACCTCTGTGAACTTGATCAAGTCTGAGAACTTAATTTTTGTTTCTTTTTTTCTTTTTTTTAATTAAATTTATTTTACATCCCGACCAAAGTTTCCCCTCCATCCTCTCCTCCCATCCCACCCCCCACCCCCGCCTCCTGTATTCACTCCTCCTCTGTTTCTGTTCAGCAAGGCTGGCCTCCCATGGGTGTCAACAAAGCATGGCATATCAAGTTTCTGTAGGACTAAGCTCCTTGCCTTGTATTAAGGCTGTCAAGGCGACCCAGTATGAGGAGTAGGGTCCCAAGAGCCAAGCAAGGCCTTAGGGACAGGCCTGCTCCCACTGCTGAGAGTCCCACAAGCAGACCTCTGGGCTACATAGTGAGACCCTGGCTTAGCAACAGAAAAGAAGTTTAATTTAGGGTTGGTGACACTGTTCAGTAAGTCAATGCTTTTGCTGCCATGATTGATGACCTTAGTTCAGTCCCTGGGACCCACGTGGTGAAGGGAGAGAGCCACGGATGTACACACACATATCATAAGTATAGATAGTTTTATTTTTTTACTTATTTTCTTTTTTTTTTTTAAGATTTATTTATTTATTTATTATGTATACAGTGTTCTGTTTGCATGTATCCCTGCAGGCCAGAAGAGGGCGTCAGGTCTGATTATAGATGGTTGTGAGCCACCATATGGGTGCTGGGAATTGAACTCAGGACCTCTGGAAGAACAGCCAGTGCTCTTAACCTCTGAGTCATCTCTCCAGCCTTATTTTTTACTTATTTATGTGTATGGATTTTTTTTTAAATTTATTTATTATGTATACAGTGTTCTATCTGCATGTACGCCTGCAGGCCAGAAGAGGGCACTAGATTTCATTACAGATGGTTGTGAGCCACCATGTGGTTGCTGGGAATTGAACTCAGGACCTCTGGAAGAGCAGTCAGTGTTCTTAACCTCTGAGCCATCTCTCCAGCCCTGTGTATGGATGTTTTGTCTACATGTATGTCTGTGCATCGTGTGAATGCCTAGTGCCAGTAGAGGCCACAGAAGGTATCTGATCCCCTGGAACTGAAGTTACAGATAGTTGTGAGTTGCCATGTGGGTGCTGGGAATTGAACCCAGGTCCTCTGGAAGAGCAGCCAGTGCTCTTTACCACTGAGCCGTCTCTCCAGCCCCCAATACATATATTTTAAAGTATAATTAATTCTGCAAAATACCTAAACGGTAAGTATGGACCTTGATTACTTGTTAATAAGTGAAAGCACAAAAAGAATAGGCAGAAGGCACAAGCACATACAGTTCTGAAGGCAGCACTATGGGATTTGAGGATGTAACCACCCAGCGGGTCCCACAGTCCAGATGTCTGGGAAGTCACCACTGCTTGCAAATCCCAAGCACATCTTGTGGTTTAGTGACTAATGTCCTCAGTGGCTCAGTCTGGTGATGGGGGCAGCTGTGCACATGAAAGATCCAGTCACACAAGCAAGGAGATGAAAGACACTGGTGTGCAGCTGGCATTGTGGTGCATGTCCATAAGCCCAGCCCTCCAGGGCTAAAGCAGCAAGATTGTGAGTTGAGGCCAGCATGACAATATAGGGAGACCTTGTCTCCAAAGAGGGAGGACAGAGACAGACAGATTGTCATGCCCATAGCTAGTTCCCCCACCACCCCCAACCTCAGAACATCCTTGCCTGAGGGAGCTGACCCCATGTCTCCTTACCAGCTCTGGCCCGCAGGGAAGAGGAGAGCCTGGTTGTTCCTACCAAGCGGCGGCGGCGGGTGACAGCTGAGATGGAGGGGAAGTACATCATCCACATGCCGAAGGGGACCACCCCCCGCACCCGCAAGATCCTGGAGCAGCAGCAGGCAGCAAAAGGTTCGAGCTGTGTGGGCTGCAGATGGGGCTCTCTTAGCTTGTTACCCAGTGATGGTCCTGCCCAGTGGGTGGGGGCTTAGAGGGGAGCAGCTAACAGGGCATTTGGCTAAGGGGATAGCCACCATAGAGGAAGAGACTCACCTCTGGGCTGCCATCCTGCAGTTCATGAAGCTGGGTTCCTCATGCCTTGTCCCTGGAGGGCAGGGACAAAAAGTCAGTTATGGCTGGCCTGGAAAGCAAGTGACCATACCTGGCTAAGAGTAGGCCCGCAGTGGACACCAGTACTGTGAGGCAAAGCAAGGGCTCATCCTCAGTGCTGTGGAGATGGTAGCCCCATGGTGGTGACATTTTAGAAAGTTCTGCTGGTGCTCCTGGAAGAACTTTGAGATGGTGTACATCTTCTTCCTGGGCCCCATACCTATGGGTGTTGCCCCTCTCTGGAGCAGCATGTGTGGACCTGCAAATGTCACTGAATATAGAGGCTCTATTCTTTTTCCTTGATTTTGTTTATTTTTATACATTAAAGGCATGCGCCACCGCCGCCCGGCCTTATTTTTATATATTTATTCATTTATTTTTTGGTTTTTCCAGACAGAGATTCTTTATATAGCCCTGGCTGTCCTGGAACTATCTCTGTAGACCAGGCTGGCTTCAGACTCACGGAGATCCTCCTGCCTCTGCCTCCCGAGTGCTGGGATTAAGGCATGCACCGCCAATTCGCGGCCAGTTGGTTTATTTTTTTATATTCTGTTTTTGAGGTGCTGGGGATCTGACCTTGTGCATGCTAGGGTAGTGTTCTACCTCCTACTTAAAGCCTCAGTCTTTTTTATGTGTGTGGCACAAATAACATTATTTTCTAGATATCAATATAAAATTTCCTCCAGTTATGTCTTTCTTTCATTTTTAATCTTTTATTCTTTCATACTTTCCTTAAAAAACTATTTTGTGGGTCTGCTTATGTGAATTCATGTGCATGTGTGGCAGTCCTCGAAAGCCAGAAGAGGGTGTTAGGGTCCCTGGAACTGGATACTAGGAATTGGACCTGGGTCCTCTATAAGAGCAGCAAGTGACTGCTCTTAACTGCTGAGCCATCTCTCCAGTCTCTATTCTTTGATAACTTCATCCATGTATACATTCTACCTTGACTGGATCTATCCTTGCCAGATACCCCAGCATACCCCTCTCTTACATTCATGTCCTGTCCCTATATTTTCCTGCAGGGAGCTTACTGTTCCCTGTTAGAGCTGCTTTCTAGAATGACCTTGTGTGAGTGACCGTAGTGCAGTTAGTTCCCGTGGCATGTCCCACCCAGAAGACAGCATTTCCCAGCACTTCTCCAGCTCCCATGCTCTTCCTGCCCGCTCTCGTGCAGTGTCCTGTGAGCCTTGGAGAGGTTGATGTAGGTGGTCCGTTTAGGACTGAGCACTCAGTGCACACACTCACCTCAGCGCTTTGACCAGTTGAGTCTTTGCAGTAACTGCTGCCCACTGTTGAAGAAGCTTCTCTGACCAAGATGAGGGCAGCACTAATATGGGTGTAAACAAACGTGTAGATATGTTTAAATTATTCTTTATTTATGTGAATATGTGTGAGTCTATGTGTACCATATGCATGTTAGAGCCCACAGAGGCCAGAAGAGGGTGTCAGATCCTCTAGAACTGGAGTCACAGATAATGTAAGCTGCCATGGGGGTACTGGGAAATTCTGCAAGAGCAGTAATTGCTCTTAACTGCTGAGCCATCTTTTCAGAGCCCCCATCCCCCTAAACATGAATATTTAGAAGGCAATTTGATAACATGTCCATTTACCAAAACAACGGTATTAAATTTTCTATTAGGGCTTATGATCTCCTAAGCCATGGGCATTGGACCAGGTTTACCATACCAGGCCTGTATTTCCTCCTGTGGAGCAGGCCTCAAATCTAATCAGGAGCTGTTGGTTAACTCCATAACCTCATACCACTGTTAAACCAGTGGGCACATCTTGCCTGGCAGGTTGATGTTTTAGCATTCAGAGTTCACTGCTGGGTAATGCCCCTGATGACTTTTTCCCCCCAGTGGCCTGCATTGTACCTTTCAACACTGTGAAACTAGCCATCAAGGAGGAAGCTTGTTTTTCTATCAGTTTAGTTTGGTTTTTCTCTGTCCTACAACCGAAGTGTGCTGTGCCTGCCTTAGTAGGGTCACCTGTCATGCTGGCTGTCCTGGAGCTCACTAACTCACAGAGATCCCCCTGCCTCTGCCTCCAAAGTGCTGGGATCAAAGGCATCTGCCACCATGCCTGAGCTGGTGGCTTATTCTTTTTTAATGGTCATTTGTTTCCATGATATTTTGGGCTATGACGCAGTGAACACTGTGAACACTGTTATTGGTGGAGATGAAGAGTTTGTTTGTTTGAGAGAGGATTTCTCTGTGTAGCCTTGGCTGTAGCCCAGGAACTCGATCTGTAGATCAGGCTGGTGGCCTTGAATTCAGAGATCCACCTGCCTCTGCCTCCAGAGTAGTGGGATTAATGGTGTGTGCCACCACTGTCTGACTGAGATGGAGGTTTTATTTAGTAGAGGACTTATTACCATTCATCACATTCTGCCAGATGCCCACAATTGCTAACTTAAAAGGAACAAAACTGGATGGGGTAGCATTTGGGAAGTGTAAGCAGGAGAATCGGGAGTTCAGGGCCAGCCTCAGTTACATAGTGAGTTCAAAGTTAGCCTAGGCTACATGAGACCCAATCTCAAAGAAGAAACATTTTCCCTTCCACATCAACTTATACAGAGGCACAATGAATTTCAGTTATCAATTTTCATTGATTGTTTTAGTTAGGGTTACTGTAGCTATGATGAAGCATCATGATCAAAAGCAGGTTGGGGAGGAGTGGGTTTATTTGGCTTACACTTCCACATCACTGGAGGAAGTCAGGGCAGGGACTCAAACAAGACAGGAAACTGGAAGCAGGAGCTGATGCAGAAGCCATGGAGGGGTTCTGCTTACCTGGTTCTTTCGTGACTTGTTCAGCCTGCTTTCTTATAGAATCCAGGACCACCTGCCCAGGGATAGCACCACCCACAGTGGGCTGGGCCCTTCAGCATCAATCACTAGTTAAGAAAACGCCCTCCAGGCTCCTCTATCGACATCTTATGGAGGCATTCCCTCCTCTTAGGTGATTTCAGCTTGTGTCAAGTTGACATAAAGCTAGCCAGCTCGTTGGTCTTTCCCCGATCTGACCCTTGGGAGTTTGTGCGAAGGGCAACAGGAGCCACCAGTGCAGCTAGTTGCAAGGCCTGAGCCGAGCACGCATGGTCTGTCCCTAGGTCATCTCACCTTGGCATCTGCACTGTGCTCAGCCTAGACATGGTCCCATGGGGCCACAGGCGGGTGCTGCCTCATGGTGCCACTTCTCTCCCAGGTCTGCATAGAACTTCTGTATTTGATCGCCTTGGGGCTGAGACCAAAGCAGACACGACGACAGGGACTAAGGTGAGTATGGCATGCTGGAGCGGCTCGTGTGGGCAAGTGCTGGTCCTCTCGGTGTGCTTCTTGACACTCACGGTCTGTGTCCCAGGTGGCCAAACTCTCTTCCCACCGTTTGAACCTGTTTTCTCTTTGGCTGTGGTGGATTTCTTGTTTGTCCTTTGTCCTTTCGTAACCGTCTGCTTGGCTGCTGGATTTCTTTCTTCCACCCCCAGGTCCTAACTAGTCTCAGGATCCTCTACCATAGCAATCCTATCCTGAGCCTCCAGCTCAGGTGCCTGCCATTTGCATTCAGTCAGCTGAATGCATTCCAAGTTGGATGCCTCCATCTGTCCTCAGCTCTGCCACCTCTGCCTGATGCGTGGATAGGGTCCCACAGCGCTGCCATGAACCCTTGCAGCCCTGTCCCCACAGTTACAGCCATGCTGCCGCATGAAGAGGAGGTGTTTTTGTTTCTTTTGCTTTTTTGTGACAGAGTCTCATATGCTCTGGGTGGTCTGACACTGTAGCCAAGTGATTGAACTCCTGATCCTCCTGCCTCCACTTCCCAAGTGCTCAGATGACAGGCATGCACTGCCACACCTGTCTTCTTTAGGACTGGGTGTTTGGGGGGGGGTTGTTTGTTTTGAGTCAGTCTTTCCTGTAGCCTAGGCTGGCCTAGAACTCGAGATCATTCTCCTTCAACCTCATGAGTACTGAGATCACAGACTTGCACCGGTGCTTCCAAGGTTTTTGTTTTTAAACTGTGCCCACAGCAAAACCTAATCTTACTGCTGTAACCAGCGCTTCCCTAGGCCCCGGGCATGGAGTGTGGTTAGAATACCCTAGAACTCACTCTGATAGGCTGGATGGCCTTGGCATTGTCATTTTAGCCATTTGTACCTCAGTTCCTGAATCTATATAATGCCAGTTAATAGGGCGGCTATGGGTGTCAACAAGAGGTTGGGATGTAGGGCATGGCAAGCGCTCCTTAGGTATCACCCACAGTAGACACTATGGCTTCCACTGAGTCTCGTGCTCACCAGGGTAGAACTGCCTGCCCTCTGTCTCTCACCTCCCAGAATCTTACCATGATGGTGATGGTAATACAGGCTCCTAGGACTGGAGGTTCAGCCATGTGAGGCTTTAGTGAGTGCTCAGCAAGTGTGGCTGTCACTTCTGCCTCCGAAACCGAAGGCATGCTTCTTTCTCTGCTCACTCATCTCGGAGGGACTACAATCCCTGGCATCTCTGAGAAGACATGGGTTGTCCCTGACTCCTGCCCTCTAGCCTGCTACTCCCCTTCAATGCTGGCAGTGATGGCCCACATCTATCATCCCAACACTCAGGAGACTGAGGCAGGAGGATCTCCAGCTTGAGACTGTGGACTGTGTAGTAACCCTTGTCTCAAAAAGTAAAGGAAAAGAAAATCCATGAAGACATACTGTCCTTCATAGAACACGACAGACTGTTGATATTGTTGAATTAGTGAAGTTATTTCTGATGCTATCTCCTCCATCGAGCTATGACTCCAAGAGGGTATGGTCAGGGTTGTCCTGACCATCGTGGTATCTTTAACACTGTTCATCCTAGGCTGAGGTTCATAAACTATCTGCTAAGTAAATGACTGAGTAAGGGGTAGAGTATTTCCCAGCTGTGTATAAGGCCCTGAATTCTGTCTAATGCATGACACCGTAAACAGCTAAAATGACCTGGGCAGTGTTCCCAGTGCTCAGCCTGCCCTTGGCAAGGCACTCCTGTTTCTCCCTGTCTTTATTAGAGCTACTAACATTCAGCTTTCAGAGCTCCAGTGGCCTGTGCCCTTTCCTAAGGAACCTTCCTGAGCCCCTGGCGTAGTCAGGTCTTCCTCTGGGCTCCCTGGCCTCTGGTCCCTGTCACTATTACGTAGGATGACACTGAACTGCCAGCTGACTTTCTTAGAGGCCAGCACAGAGCAGGCAGCATGCTGAGTGACTAAAATGACCCACTGTCCTTTCTCTGACATCTACAGCCCACAGGAGTTTTCAGCCGCTTAGGGGCCACCCCAGAGATGGATGAGGATTTGGCCTGGGACAGTGATAATGACAGCAGCAGTTCTGTCCTGCAGTATGCTGGGGTCCTAAAGAAGCTAGGACGGGCCCCCGCCAAGACCAGTCCCCAGCCGGCACTGACTGTCAAAGCCAAGGCCACAAGCTCTGCAACCACGACAGCTCCAAGGCTGCGGCGCCCGGCACTTCCCTCTCGCCCTGGGCCAGAGAAGAAGCCGGAGTCCCTGCCCAAAGTCAGTGTCCTCCAGAGACTGGGCAAGGCTGCCGTTGTGTCTGAGGCCCAGGACAGCCAGGTCACAAGCACCAAGAGTAAGTCCTCAGCTGAGGTCAAGTTCGCCATTAAGAGGACTCTGGTAGGGCCCCGGGGGAGCAGCTCCATTGAGAGCCTTGGTGCCCAGATGGACCATGCAGGCACTGTGAGCGTGTTCAAAAGACTGGGCCGAAGGACTTTGTAGCCGGCACACAGGGTGGGGTGCAGCATGGAATGGCAGGCAGGTTCCTGCTTCCATCCCTCCCTCCCAGCTTCAGGTGACACAAGGCTCGGCCCTCCAGCATTCATGCTGGCTCCAAGCACTTGGTGCATGGCCTTTGCCTGGTCTTCGATGTTCCTGTGGCCTGACCTTGCCTGCTCTGGGACTCTCCCTGCCTGCCCTCTGTCCTCTGTGCACTAACTGTGGCCTTGGTAGATTCCCCTTTCTACCTCTTCCCAAAGCCAAGTGCCCTGCCCCTTCCATGCAGCCCACCCCTCACTGGGGCGCCCTCCTGTCCTGGCTGCCCCATCACAGAGGTGTCACCTGGAGGCACTCCCTTTGCCCCACCCCGTGACTTCCCTCCCTCTTCTCCCCTCCCCCTGCTGTGATGTCTCTCTTCTCTTCACTCTTTTCATTTCTCTTCTGTTTTCTGTCCCTGTGGCAAGGCCCGACCGTCCGCTGCATCCTGCCTGACCCTCCTGCACCTCTGACCTCCCAGCGGCCCCCTCGTCGACGGTGGCGTCGAACCTGTAAAGACTGTTAGCCGCCTTCCATTCCCAGGCTGGAGGGACACCCCCAGATCCTGGCCTGCAGCTGGGGCACCTCCGTTTCCCTGCCCTGATTGATGGTCTTTTTCCTTGGTGGGTGGTGGGCAGCAGAACTGGGGAGGGGAGGAGCACTGGGGGAAGGTGACGGCTGTTTTAATATATTTTTGTCACTTCCAAACTGTCCTTCCCCTCCTTCCGTGGGAGTCACAGGTCTGTTCTTCACACCAACACAGTGGCATGGGGGGCGCTGGTGAAGGGCTGGGCCCAAAGTGTCAGCACCTGAGTTGAAGGGTATAGTGGTGACAGTCCCCTCGATGAGGTCATCTCCCCTCGGAGCTGCAGTGGTCTATCACTATGGTTCCTCCCGTGGATTTCGCCTGTTCCTGCCACACAGTCTGCTGGTGGTTTGGTTTTATTTTGAGATGGGATCTCATTATATAGCCCTGGCTTACCTGGAACTTGCTTTGTAGATCAGGCTGGCCTCAAACTCTCAAGAGACCCACCTGTCTCTGCCTCCCAAATGCTGGGATTAAAGGCTTTTGCCATCATACCCAGCTGGCTTTCTTTCTTTTCTTTTTCTTTTTTCTTTGAAACCCAAGATGGCCCAAATTTGATATATAGTTGAAGAAGACTTGAAATGTCTCTCTTTAAAAAAACAGTTATTTTGTGTGTATAAATATTTTGCCTCTGTGTATGTATCAGGCACCTGAGTACCTAATGCCCATGGAAACTGGAAGATTTTGGATACCCTGAGACTGGAGTTAAGGATAGTTGTGAGCCCCTATGTGGGCTCTGGGAACCAAACTTAAGTCCTCTGTAAGAGCAACAAAGGCTCTTAACCACTGAGCCATGTCTTCTGCCTGACTTTGTGTTTCAAAATCTCTAATCTCTACCTCGAGAACTCTGACAGCGAAGGCCTCTGCCACCATTTCAGGCTTTTGTGTGGTGCAGGAGACTGGGCCCAGGCTTTACATGAACATTCTGTTGGTCTTCTCTCTCCTTCTTTCTTTTTGAGACACTGTGTTACTTTGTAGCGCAGACTGGCCTTAAATTCAGGATTCTCTTGCCTCCGCCTCTGGACTGCTGCTGTTACAGGCATAAGCCAACTGCTGACAGCCCCCCAGCTGTCCTAAGATGGCATTGCCCAGAGAAAGGGGGGTGGGGTGGGGGTTGGCCAGGACCACTGCAGTTGTGTGGTCCGAAGATTTTGATGTGGCACCAGCGGGAGAACTGAGAATAAGAAGAGGTAATTTTTCAAACTTCAGAAGAACATTCTGACAGAAGGACAGACATGGTCAAAGGCCTTGAGGTGGGGCATTGACCAGGAAGGTGCTGGCCATGAGAAAGGCAAGGCTGCTGGATAGGAGGAAGAGCTCTTGGCAGAGCTGAGGGACGAATGGGAAGAACAAACTGTGTTCAAGGCACCTGGTATAGTGAGGTATGTGTATAACTCCAGCACTTGGGAGACTGAGGCTTGAGGATGGCCGAGTTTAAGATCAGCCTGGAATACACAGTAAGATCCTGTCCCAAAAACTGGAAAGATTTTAAAAAAAAAAGCCAGGCACAGTGGCACACACCTTTAATCCGAGCATTTGGGAGACAGGCAGAGGATCTCTGTGAGTTTGAGGCCATCTTGATGTACAGAGCGAGTTCCAGGACAGCCAGAGCTATATATACTGAGATCACATCTCTAAAAAATAAAAACAAACAAAAAGGAAGACAAGGGATTAGAGAGATGGCTCAGTGGTTAAGAGCACTGGCTGCTCTTCAGAGGACCCGGGTTCCCACCTAGTAGCTCACAATCTTCTGTAACAGTTTCTAGTGGATCTGGTGCGCTTTTCTGGCTTCTGAGGACATCAGGCATGCAAATGGTGCATAGACATTCATGCAGACAAAACACTCGTACACATATAAACAAGTAAACAAATTTTTTATGTAAAAAGGAGGGAGGACTCAGGGAACTTTTTTTTTTTTTTTTAAGCATATTCTCTTACCAGGTGATGGTGGCACACACCTTTAATCCCAGCACTCCAGAGGCAGAGGCAGGCGGCTCTCTGTGAGTTCGAGGCCAGCCTGGGCTACAGATCGAGTTCCAGGACAGCCAGGGCCACAGAGTGAAATCCTGGCTTGAAAAAACAAAAAGGAAAAAAAGTGTATGTACACACACACACACACACACACACACACACACACACACACACACGCACACACACACACACATATATTTCTTCTCTTATACATTACATGCAGACCAACATTTCCCATTCTACTCTTCCCATTCCCCCCAACCCACCTCCCCTCTTCCCCCAGATCCACTCCTCCATTTTCTTCAGGCCTCCCAGGGATATTAACCAAACATGGTATAACAAATTGCAATAAGACAGACAAACCCTCTTATCAAGACTGGAAAAGGCAACCCAATAGGAGGAAAAGGGTCCCAATCATAGGCAAAAGAGTCAGAGGCAGCCCCCCATTCCCACTGTTGGGAGTCCCACAAGAACACCAAGCTACATAACCATAACACATATGCAGAGGACCTAGCTCAGATACATAACAGGGTCTGTGATTGTTGCTTCCGTCTCTGTGACCCACTCTGAGCTCTGCTTAGTTGATTCTGTGGACCATGTTCTCATGGTGTCTTCAATCCCTCCGGCTCCTACAGTCCTTCCTCCTCCTCTTTTTTGGGGTTCCCTTGCCTAGTGTTTGGCTGTGGGTCTCTGCATCTGTTCCCATCAGCTGCCGGAGGAAGCCTCTCTGATGACTATTGGGCTAGGCACCAATCTATTAGTATAGCAGAATATCATTTGGAATCATTTAATTGACTTTTTTTTTTTTTTAAAACCAAGTCATGTTTGGTTCTGTCCTGGATTTCTGGGCTGTCCAGCCTCTGGGTCCTGCATCTAGCCTGGACCAAGTATGGGCTCCAGAGGGAACTTTTGTGTTTGTTTTTTTTCTAATGCTGGGGATCAAATCTAGTGTCTCACACATGCCAACAATGCTAGCAAGTGTACTAGCTGTCTGTCTTAAAGCATTTATTTCCTTTTTAAACCCCTTTTTATTTAAATTTTCTCCTACCACATACTTTGTTTTGTTTTTAAACATAATTTTTTATTGAATCTTTGGGAGTTTCACATCATGCAGCCCCATCCCACTCATTTCCTAGTCCTTCCATTCCCGCCCTTCCACCTTTGTAACCTCCTAAAAGAAAAGAAAAAAGAAAAATTAGAAAAGAAAAACCAACAGCAAAACCATCTCCCGGGCCCTCTGGGCAGTGGCCTGCTTCTCTGTCAGCCTCAGCGCCTGTCTCGTTCCACTCCATCCTAACCGCTTCTCTGTCATCCCTCAGCCTCAGTGCCTGTCTCGTTCCACTCCATCCTAACCGCTTCTCTGTCTCGTACTTGTTCGCCCAAGTGACCTTGAGGTTGGGGTGTGTCACGACGCACGCAGACTCTGGTTCATTTCGCTCAGGCTGCCCTGGGTAGCTGGAGCCGCCCTTGAGACCAAAGCCGCCCTCTTCCCTCCACCTCCGAAGACAGGCCAAGAGCCACCACTTCTCATGAAATGCTTTGATTTGGGGGTTGTGGGGTTTTTCTTTTCTTTTTGTTATCCTACCACCACCTCTCTGGTGAGGGGTGTCAAGTAAAGGACAACTTGTGTGATGTGCTAGACTCAGTTTTCCCCCAGTGTGTGGGTCCTAGGCCTCAAACTCAGCTGGTCAGCTTCGGTGGCAAGTGCCTTTACCCACTGAGTCACCTCCACCAGTCCTTCATATGTGTATGTTTATGTGTGGGATTGCACATGAATGTACTCTATGTAGAGGCCAGAAGAGGGTATCAGGTCCCTTGGAGCTACAGTTACAGGCAGTTGTGAGCCACCAGATATGGGTGCTGGGTCCTCTGCAAAATACACTCTTACCCACCAGATGTGGGTGCTGGGTCCTCTGCAGAATACACTCTTACCCACCAGATGTGGTGCTAGGTCCTCTGCAGAATACACTCTTACCCACCAGATGTGGGTGCTGGGTCCTCTGCAGAATACACTCTTACTCACTGAGCCCTCTCTCTAGTCACTCTTTCTGGTTTTCTTTCTTTCTTTTTTCTTTTTTTGTGAGACAGGGTTTCTCTGTGTAGGCCTGACTGACCTGGAGCTCACTCTGTAGACCAGGTTGGCCTCAAACTCACAGAGATTCATCTGCCTCAGCCTCTCGAGTGCTGGGATTGAAGGTGTGCACCACCACAGCCTGGTCCCTCTTTCTGTTTTTAAGACAGGGTTTCCTGCCGGGCGGTGGTGGCGCACGCCTTTAATCCCAGCACTCGGGAGGCAGAGCCAGGCGGATCTCTGTGAGTTCGAGGCCAGTCTGGGCTACCAAGTGAGTTCCAGGAAAGGCGCAAAGCTACACAGAGAAACCCTGTCTCGAAAAACCCAAAAAAAAAAAAAAAAAAAAAGACAGGGTTTCCTGAAGCCAGTTGGTCTCAAAGTCACTATGTCAGGATTCAGAACTGATAGAATGTGTGTGTGTGTGTGTGTGTGTGATTTATTAGACAGCCGTATAGGCTGTGATTCAGGGAGTCCAACAATGGCTGCCTGTGAACAGAAGGTCCAAGAATCCAGTAGTTGTTCAGTCCACAAGGCTGGATGTCTCAGTATACACCAGAATCCCCAAAGAAGTCAGCTCTAATGCCTGTGAAGGAGTGGACTTGCCGAGAGGGGAGAGAAAGCAGGCAGAGGGCAAGCTTCCTTCTCCGTGGCCTTCTAAGGCTGCCAGCAGAAGGCATGGCCCAGATTAAAGTGGATCTTTCCACCTCAAAAGATCTGGATTAAAAATTGGTCTTCCTGGCCGGGGCGGTGGTGACGCACGCCTTTAATCCCAGCACTCGGGAGGCAGAAGCAGGTGGATCTCTGTGAGTTCGAGGCCAGCCTGGTCTACAGAGTGAGTTCCAGGAAAGACACAAAGCTACACAGAGAAACCCTGTCTGAAAAAAAAAAAAAAAATTGGTCTTCCCACTTCAAATAATTCTCCCAAAGACAGGGTTTCTTTGTGTAGCCTTGGCTGCCCTGGATTAAAGGCATGCCACCACAAATTATGTAATTTTTTTTTTTTTTTTTGAGCTGAGGATTGAACCCAGGGCCTTGCGCTTGCTAGGCAAGCGCTCTACCACTGAGCTAAATCCCCAACCCCCACAAATTATTTAATTAAGAAAAAAAAAAACCCCTAACTGGGCAGTGGTGGCACATACCCTTAATCCCAGCACTTGGGAGGCAGAAGCAGGGGCATTTCTGTGAGTTCGAGGCCAGTCTAGTCTACACAGCGAGCTCTAGGACAGAGCTACTCAGAGCAACCTTGTCTCAAAAAGCAAAACAAGAAAAAAGAAAAAAAAAAATCCTTCACCGGCATACCCAGCTTCTTGGTTTTTAGTTAATTCCAGATGTAATCAAGTTCACAACCAAGGAGAACCATCACAGTGGCTGAGGCTAGCTTTGAACTCCTGTTCCTCCTGAGTCCACCTCCCAGATTCTGGGGTTATGGTATATGTGCCACTGTGCCTGGCTTAATTCATAATTTTTTTTTCTGTAGTACTGGGGTTTGAGCCCAGGGCTTCTTATATGCTAGGCAAGTATACACTCTTCAGTCAAGGAGTACTGTGATGTCATGCTAACCTCTCCTCCACAGGAGCAGCTCGGAGACTTGCTACTAAAGCCACTGTGGCACAGAGATGAGGAACCATTGTGGTTTGTGGTCCCAGCTCATAGGAAATGCTGGTCTATTGGTTTGGCTGGGGATCACTTTGATCTGCCTTCTTCTAAACAGGAACTCAGCTCAAGCCAGGAAAGTCCTCAAAAACTAT